TAATACACCTCCCCCCCCCCTTCAAAAAGCCCCCTCTGCTACGCGAGTGCGTAAATATCGCGGAATCCCCGGCTCCTCAGGTACACTTGCAGGGCATGGTGATTTTCGATGTTGGCCAGGGGCACCCAGCTATCTTGAGTTGGCGTGCGGTCCTTCGAGTAAACGAGGAACTCGATCTTCCTGATGCTTGTGGGGTGGCGAATCAAATGGCTAAAACAATTCTTGCGCTCAACGATCAGCTCGTGGTTGGGATGTACGGGCGAAGGAGGCTGACGTGGAAAGATGGGCTAATGTACCAGGCTGTAAGAGTACGTCGACGTTCGACATATTTCTCATTTCTATATTTTTAATCTATCTTATTCTCCCTATTTTCTGCTTTCATTTGCCCTTTATTTCACCTCGATAAGACTACTATTCTATTTTCTAGAGCTTTCCAATTAGCTCACTTATTTTGTATTTTCGGCACCGACAATTACATTATACGGCACCGACAGCACCGACGGTGGTGTACAAGGCGTAATCTTGCCATAATCTCAAGTGCCAATGGGCTTGCGTGCTTATGCGCAGTAGTGATTATTTATTCTAGAAGAGCGTGTTCCCGAAGGTTCATATTATCTGTTGTTTTGATGCATTTCTGAGTATAAATACGCCTTGTACTCACCTTTAGTGCAACATTCTCGAGTGGAAATTCGACCCTGTGACACAGTCGGTCGATAACAGTAGGTAGGCGGTTTTTGGGGTGATCATGTGGCTGATTTGGAACGGTCCATAGGAGCGCGGTCGCTGTTTTGGTACGACGGGCAGTCTAAAATTCGGTGTATCGAGCAGTACGTTATTCCCTGACTGGTATGCTACTGGGCGGCGGTGGCGGTCAGTGTTTCACTTCGCGATAATATTTGCTTTCTTGATCGCGTCTGCTGCTCGTGTTCTGGCAGCCTGCAGGAACTCGGCAAACTGTTGAGCGCGTAGCGTTGGGTTGTTCGGACCCGGCCCCACGACTGCTGCAATATCGCTGACGTGGCGTTGTTGTAGGCGAACTCGATCAGCGGCAGCTGCTGCTCCCATGTTGTCGGGTCGTCGCATGTGGCACAAATCAGCTGCTCCATGGTCCGGTTCGTCCGCTCGGTTTGACCGTCAGTCTTGGGGTGGTACGACGAGCTGAACTGTAGCCTGGTCCCGAACTGCTCCTAGAGGTTCTTCGAGAATTTGCTGGTATACTTCATGTCATGGTCGCTGATTATCGTGGCTGGTATCCCGTGCAGCCGAACGACGGTTGCGATGAACAGGCGAGCGATTACTTTGGCTGAGATCGATGTCCTGCACACACGCAGCGAAGTGAGCCATTTTCGTCAGTCTGTCAACGACGACCATAACCACGTCGTTACCCCCAGGGCTCGAAGGTAACCCCGTGACAATATCCATTGTAACCTGCTGTCAGGCGCGCTCGGGCGGTGAAATTGGCTGCAACTGACCCGCCTTTCTTTTTCGCGAGATCTTCATCACATGACACGTAGGACACGACCCCACTTGGTGCTGTACGTCGGTCAATAGCTCCGGCCAGTAGTCGTAGACAATCACGGCCGAGTAAAATGTCGGTCCTGTCGAGGGTCGTTGCAAGCATTTCCAAGGTAAATGTGAAGCTACCCCCGTATCGGATCCGAACTCGGTCCACCCTTTCCCGTATCACCAGTGGCATGCCGTCGACCAGTCTTGCATCAATCTCAGGTAAACACCTGTCCTGTGGCAGTTTCAGTCTATGTGCTGTGGCGGTATTGATCAGGCTGTGGGTGGCTCCCTCGTCCACGAAGTTTTTGACTAAGTCTGTCACTTTTTTCCCACTAAGCAGTATGGAGCTGTCTACCCACCTTATTCGGCCGGGTGTGGTCGATTGCGTGAACCGGCACAATCACTCGGTGAGGGTCGGTTGGGTCGGGCGAGCGGCGTGACCTGTCAGTAGAGGGCCCGTCTGCTACTGACTCCCAGCGTTTCCCTGCTGCTTGGTCTGTTTCTGCTGCTCAGCTTCCCCCTTTCCCTTAGCGTTTTCCGTGCATTCGCTTTTACGGCCTATTGTCAGAATCCCAGCCACTAACCACTGGGATAAAAGGGCTTGTTTATATAGCGGGTGAGTGCGCCCATAACCCCCCAGGCCGACGTGCCTGTAACCCTTCCCTAGGATCATCGGGGATCTCCAGTGGACCTCTGACACCCCCCCGCACTGGGATGCCCGAAGTGCACACACCGGGAATCGAACCCGAGACCTTCGCTCTGATACCATGTCAGAATCCCAGCCACTAACCATTGGGATAAAAGGGCTTGTTTATATAGCGGGTGAGTGCGCCCATAACCCCCCAGGCCGACGTGCCTGTAACCCTTCCCTAGGATCATCGGGGATCTCCAGTGGACCTCTGACACCTATCGCACGCGAAGCAGCGCCTTTTGAACGGTGCGGAAGCGGCACTCGTGGCGACAGTACGTATTGTTGCGTGCTCGTTTGTCCAACAAGGCCGATGTCCCCATCTACTGGTGTTGCTGCTGCTGCCGTAGGACCAGGGCTTTTTTTTTTTTTTTTTCACTACTCGGATTTTCAGAGCTGTTTTTTTGGGAACTCTGAAATTCAGAGTTGTTTTTTTGGGCTACTCTAATTTGTCAGAGAAAACTTAACTTCTGAAAAAATAACCCTGGGAAGTCAGTGTACCTATTTTTCCACCTCTAAGTTTCTCAAGGATTGAACCCACGCCTTCCGTTCTCCTACAAAAATTCTTCACCCATTGTGACGTCGGCTATCTACGGTTTGAAAAATTAATTGGTTAGGGTATTATGAACAATTCGCTTGCCATTTTTAACCAACCCAAGGATGGGGCTTGGTCGAAATGCGTGTACCCTGTACAGAGAAAAATGAATTCGCCAGAAATTTACACTGGTCTATCAGAGCAGCTAAAATCAAAACCCTGGCAAAACAGAGAAAACCTATCTTCCAAAAATATTACCCAGAATCGTCAGAGTGACCCCCCAAAAATCACTCTGATTTTTCGGAGAAAAGGAGTAATTTACTCTGATAAAAAAACCCCTGCGTAGGACCCAAGTCTCGGTCGGCGTAAGAAGTCGAGCTTCTCCGCCATATTACAGTGACACACGTTCTGCCATCAGTGCCACAATTTCTTCGGTGCTTTCTTGTAGTTGCTGCAGTAGTTGGTTCAGGCACTTCTGCGTGACGGTCGTAATGTCGATACGTTCCCCCATGTCGAAGGGCGGCGACTCAGCTTAGCTCTAGGCACAGTCGTGGCCGCACGCGTTAATGCGAGAATGCGAGGATAGTGGCTCCTAGGTGCTAAGGGGCGTGAGTCCCTTCGAGTGCAAAAAATCAAAAGTTGAATTCTCTGTGTGCAGAGATGCGCGGTCCGAAAAGAAGGTGGCTTTGAATATCAAGTGTTACGGGTGCAATGGAACGAGATAGCGAGGATTGCACTAGGTGTCAAACAAATACAAAGTATGGGCGAAGGCATGAGCGAATACTTGTACGCGAAATATGCAAACAGTAATGTGGTGCGTGCGAGCTAGCTAGTGCTAGGCTGGCATCGAGGTTTTTGCTAGTCCCGAAGTGTAGGCCAACTCGACTTGGCCAGCGGTGCATGGTTTGGTAAAACAGTACTCGCGAAGTTGGCGAAGCCCTTAGCAATTACGGGCGAACAACGGCTGCTGCTGTACGCGATGTTGAACGGCGTAGTAAGGAATGCCGAGTCCATCCGAACTCTGATGGGTTCGAATCCACCTGGCGCCTCACCCGGTGGGTTTCGAACCCACCGGGGGCGTGAGCCGGTGGAAGCGAGTTGCCTGGGGCAAAAAAAAAAAAAAAAAAACCCATCGCGACTGGCATGCCTTTCGGGAGCTTCAATTCTAAAATTTTAGGGTTGATGCCTCCCGAATGACATGCCTTCCGAGCGGGTTTTAGTTTTTTTTTTTTTGCCCGCGGGCAGACAGCTTGCGCGAGCGGGCGGAAGGGGTCGCGGATTCGCCCGTGTTATAGTGCTTCATCGCCTATGAACATTTGAAAAATTCCTTACAGCTAGGGAGTTTAGATATGTCGAAACCTGGGTGTTACCGATTCGTGGGAGTGACGCCAAGTTTGTGGCTTCGTGCTTTTGAACTTCCCGCCAAAATATTCCCTCGATCACCAATCACGCACGACTCGACCAAATGTCAGTGGCAATCCCACCATCCACATCCCGAGGTCCATCAATCCCGTCCCTCTCGTCCACTAATCACACAGGCATGGAGCAACCCCGAGACTACTTGACTGCCTGCTACGCCAGAAACAAGGCATCCGCTGTCAACTAACTTGCACGGGACATCACACCTCCTCAGACCACAGCCCACTTAGCAGCGCAACGGCGTTCCGCATTGGGCGTTCCAGCAGCAGCAGCGTTTAGCGCCAACCGATCTCCTCTCGCGCAATGCCGCCAGCAATGCCGGCGGCAGCAGCGCCGCCACCTGTGCTTTTGCGGTCGTGCGGCACGGACGGCGTGTGCATGCAATGCAACATGCTGCCGCCCGACGACCGCGTGCTCGTGTGCGACGCGTGCCGCGGCGAGTGGCACATGTCGTGCCTCGTGCCGCCCCTCACCGCCGCGCCCGCCGGCACGTGGCACTGCCCCGACTGCCACGAGGTCGAGGCAGCGATGAACCGCGCGCCCGGCGGCGACGGCGGCGGAGCCGACCGTGCCGCGTCTGATGCGACGGCAGGCGGGGCGGAAGCGCTGAGAGAGGCAGATACGGCGGGAAACGGCGGGGAAAACGAGCTGCGCGCGAGGATTCGTGTGATCGAGAGCGACGCGTCGCTGAGCGATGCGGAGAAGGCGAGGCAGCGGCAGGCGCTGGTGAGCCGCCAGGCGACGATGAGCGCTGGCGAAAGCGGCGGCGGCGCGCGCGTGGGCGGGGCGAGTGCGACGGCGGCGCGGGGCGTAAGCGCGGCGGAGGCGGCGGAGGCGTGTTTCAGCGAGGCGATGAAGTGCCCCATCTGCCACGACCTCGTCGACCGCCCCGTTACTGTGCGACCTCCCTCCTTGCCCTCTCTTTTCAACCCCTTTTTCCCCGGTTCGTCTCGTCACCGCCTCTTTCCCAGTTCGTCTCTTCACCTCCTTCCCACGTTTGCCCACTCTGTCCTGATCCCTCCCCCCCGATGTCCGCCAGACCCCCTGCGGGCACAACTTCTGCCTCGTGTGTTTCCGCAAGTGGCTGGCGCAGGGCAAGCGCAGCTGCGCCAAGTGCCGCCGCGCGGTGCCGCCCGACATGATGAAGCAGCCGCGCATTAACCCCGTCATCGTCGCCGCCATCCGCCACGCCAAGGCCGCCGCCGCCCGCGCGGCCGCCGGCGGGCTGTCCACGTCAGCAGCACCATCGAAGCCGTACGAGCCAATCTGCAACGAGAAGCGGCCCGACCAGGCATTCACCACGGATCGCGCCGTGCGCAAGGGCCTCTCTAACGCGGCCTCGGGCCGGATATTCGTGACTATAGCGGGGGACTTTTTCGGGCCAATCACAGCAGAGTACGACCCGGAGAGGGGGACGGGCGTGGAGGTGGGCGAGACGTGGGCGAGCCGGCTGGAGTGCCGGCAGTGGGGCGCGCACCTGCCGCACGTGGCGGGCATCGCGGGGCAGTCCCACCATGGCGCGCAGTCAGTGGCGCTGTCGGGGGGTTACGAGGATGACGAGGACAACGGCGAGTGGTTTCTGTACACTGGCAGGTGAGAGGAGGAAGGCGCTGTGGGTCAAAGGCGAACAGGGCAGCGCAGAGCTTGCATGCGTGGGCTGCCGTTGGCGCGCAGTCGGTAGCGCTGTCAGGAGGATTTGAGGACGACACACTTGCTTGACAATGGCTTGTGGTTCCTCTACACTGGCAGGTGGGCATTCGTTAGCGCAGTTAGAGGAATGGAAAGGAGAGGAGAGGAGAGGCGAGGGGGGAGGCAGCACACTGCGGAGATGGAATTAGGCATGCGCTTTCCAGTCCCATGCATGTTCCCCGCCACTTTCCCTGCTCCCACTCCTCGCCGCCCTTATTCACTCTCTCCTAACCCTCCTATCCCTCCCCCTCCCCGTTGTGCGGTGCAGTGGGGGCCGGGATCTGAGTGGCAACAAGCGGACCAACAAGGAGCATGCGTTCGACCAGCGCTTCGACAAGAGCAACCAGGCGCTCAGGCTCAGCTGCCTCAAGGGCTACCCCGTGCGCGTCGTCAGGTGTGGCGCCGCTGCTGCTGCCACATCACACGTGCATGCATGCGTCTGTGTGTATGTCCGGGCGCGTTTGCGGATTTTCGTGCATGCGTGTGTGTGTGCGCGCACACGCGCGCGCGCGTCTCGTGTGTGTGTGTGCACACAGGAGACGCAACCTCACTACCCACTGCATCCCATCCTCTGTCCTCCTGCGAGAGCGCATTTTTTTCCGAATGTCTTCAAACCCACTCTTTCCCGCACAACTTTGGAAAGGGGGCCTGAGGACGCGTCACAAGTGGAATACCGAGGGAGGTTCGGGGTTGTTCACCGATCCTGCCAAACCGATCGCCATATCGGTGTGCCACGACTGCATTTTTGCAATCGCAGGCCTGCTGCAAGTTTCAAGTGATACGATCGAAAAATCATGGGGCAAAATTGCCCGATGTGGACGAAATTGCACGATCGATGTGTGACAAGGGCACATCGATCGCCTGACTCCGAAGGGACAGCTGTACCTTAACGAAAATTGACGAAAGCATGTAACCACCTAAACACCGATTTTACACAGGATCGATGTTTCACTTGTGACGCGTCCTGATTTCCTCCTGGGTTCACCCCCCCCCCCAAAAAAAAAAAAAAAAAAAAAAAATCCCGCACAACTATCCGCCGAGCACATCCCATGGCATCCTCGTGCACGCATCACTGCGCCCTCTGTGCAGGTCGGAGAAGGAGAAGCGATCCAGCTATGCGCCACAGGCCGGTGTGCGGTACGACGGCATCTACCGCATCGAACGCTGCTGGCGCAAGAAGAGTAAAGTGGTGAGGAAGGGGGGGGGGGGGGGGGGGGGGGTAGGGATGGGGGGGTGTGGTGAGGAAAGGGGGGACGTGCTACACGGTGAGTGGGATGTGGCGCGTTGGAGGGACCACACAAGCAGGCGTGCGGTACGACGGCATCTACCGCATCGAACGCTGCTGGTGCAAGAAGAGTAAAGTGGTGCGTTGGAGAAGGGGGAGGGTGGAGGTGCGTTGGAGAGGGGAGGGTGGGGGTGCGTTGGAGAGGGGAGTGTGGGGTTGTATTGGAGAGGGGGAGGGTGGGGGTGCGTTGTGAGTTCGGGGGAAGAGGACGTGGTGAGGAAAGGTGGGGGAGGGGGCATGACGACTGTTGTTGGTGGATGGACGTGTAGAGTGGGAGGGAAGAGCCTTGGAATCATGGTGTTGCTGCCAACGCAAAAGCAAAATCGGAATGAGCATCACATATGTCCTTTTGTGCTGCGTGCCCCTCTGCCTCCCACCCGCAGGGCTTCCTCGTGTGTCGCTATCTCTTCATGCGCTGCGACAACTCGCCTGCCCCCTGGACCAGGTAGGTACCACTCTACCGCCCATGCCACGTACTGCTCCCTGCACACTCAGGGCGCGCCAAGCAGCTTGGTCCATCCATTCTCTCTCGCTTAACCCGCCTGGGTTTGCACAACACTTTTGTGTACACTACCGCTTCACCTCCGTATCCCCGCCTTGCCTCCACTTGCTTGCTCCCTTGCTCTCCCCCTTCTTCCTCCTTCCCCCTCTTCTTCCCCCTCCCCCTCTCCCACTTTCCCCCCTCTTCCTCTCCCCCCCTGCCCCTGTTCCCTGCCCCCCATCTGTGCAACGAAGTGACGATGTGGGCGACAGCCCGGGGCGGCAGCTGCCACAGGTGGCGGAGTTGAAGCAGGCGGTGGACGTCACAGAGCGCACAGGGCCACCTGCATGGGACTGGATTGTGAGTGGCGCACGGTGGAGTGGGTTGTGAGTGCTGTGCGTGGGGTGTGAGTGAGTGCGCATGGGTGCTCGGGTTGTGCACATACGTGCACACGTGGGACTGGATAACACACGCTCAAGCCTGTCCTTTCCTTGCTCTCTCAAGCCGGTCCTTTCCTTGCTCTCTCTACCCGACCACAGGAGGAGAAGCAGCAGTGGGGGTGGGTGCGGCCGCCCCCAGCATGCACCAAGCCCATCGGCGGCACCAGCACGGCGTGGCGCTCCGCCAAGCGCTTGGCGGCAAGCAGCACGGGCGAGGCGGTGAAGAAGCGCCGAGCGCTGGCGCAGAAGAGACTCGCCAAAGGTAAGCGCGCTGGGAGATGAGACGGGCTGGGCGGTGAGAGGGGGCTGGAGGCAAATAGGGGCTGGTAAGGGTGAGTTCATGAGGTGAGTGCATGAAGTACAGGTGATTCGAAGCTGATTCGTAAATTATTTGATTCTTGGCTTCCATGCCTCCTCTCCATCTCATGCCTCCTCTCCATCTCATGCCTCCTCTCCATCTCATGCCTGCTCTCCATCTCGTGCCTCCTCTCCATCTCATGCCTCCTCTCCATCTCATGCCTCCTCTCCATCTCACGCCTCCTCTCCATCTCACGCCTCCTCTCCATCTCATGCCTCCTCTCCATCTCATGCCTCCTCTCCATCTCATGCCTCCTCTCCATCTCATGCCTCCTCTCCATCTCGTGCCTCCTCTCCATCTCAGGCCTCCTCTCCATCTCACGCCTCCTCTCCATCTCATGCCTCCTCTCCATCTCATGCCTCCTCTCCATCTCATGCCTCCTCTCCATCTCGTGCCTCCTCTCCATCTCATGCCTCCTCTCCATCTCACGCCTCCTCTCCATCTCACGCCTCCTCTCCATCTCATGCCTCCTCTCCATCTCATGCCTCCTCTCCATCTCATGCCTCCTCTCCATCTCGTGCCTCCTCTCCATCTCATGCCTCCTCTCCATCTCACGCCTCCTCTCCATCTCACGCCTCCTCTCCATCTCACGCCTCCTCTCCATCTCATGCCTCCTCTCCATCTCATGCCTCCTCTCCATCTCATGCCTCCTCTCCATCTCATGCCTCCTCTCCATCTCACGCCTCCTCTCCATCTCACGCCTCCTCTCCATCTCGTGCCTCCTCTCCATCTCATGCCTCCTCTCCATCTCATGCCTCCTCTCCATCTCGTGCCTCCTCTCCATCTCAAGCCTCCTCTCCATTTCACGCCTCCTCTCCATCTCACGCCTCCTCTCCATCTCATGCCTCCTCTCCATCTCATGCCTCCTCTCCATCTCATGCCTCCTCTCCATCTCATGCCTCCTCTCCATCTCATGCCTCCTCTCCATCTCACGCCTCCTCTCCATCTCATGCCTCCTCTCCATCTCACGCCTCCTCTCCATCTCACGCCTCCTCTCCATCTCATGCCTCCTCTCCATCTCATGCCTCCTCTCCATCTCATGCCTCCTCTCCATCTCACGCCTCCTCTCCATCTCACGCCTCCTCTCCATCTCATGCCTCCTCTCCATCTCATGCCTCCTCTCCATCTCGTGCCTCCAGTACCCAAACCTCCCTTCGCACCCACCCCTCCAATTCCCCCCTCCCCCTCAGACTTCGCGTGTCTGCTGTGCAGGGGCGTGCTGCGCGACCCGGTGTCCACGCCCTGCCAGCACAGCTTCTGCCTCGCATGCCTGCAGGCGCGCTTCCAGGGGCAGGCCGACACGCGCGACCGCTCCAAGACAGCGGGGCGGTCGCTGCGAGCGCAGAAGATCGTGAAGCAGTGCCCCGCTGTGCGCTGCACGGCTGACATTGCAGACGTGCTGTCCCGGCTGCAGGTGAGGGTGGGGGATAAGGTACTCACTAGATGGCCTTTATAGCGCCGCAAAAGGTGGTCGGGTGCGAGCACAGAAGATCGTCAAGTGGCGCCCCACTGCACGCTGTACCGCTGGCATTGCAGACGTGCTGTCCTGGCTGCAGGTGAGGGTAGGGGGGGTGAGGGGCTTACGAGGTGGCTATTAGGGTGTCTCAAAAGGTGGTTGGGTCGGGTGCGAGCACAGACGATTGTGAAGCAGTGCCCTGCTGCGCGGTGCACTGCTGACATTGCACATGTGCTCAGCCGCTTGCAGGTGAGGGGGTGGGGGTGAGGGGCTGTCAGAGTCTTTTAAGGTGGGGGAAGGGGTTGAGGGGCCAGATGCAGGTGAGGGGATAATGGGTTGAGGTGAGGGGATGATGGGTTGAGGTGAGGGGATAATGGGTTGAGGTGAGGTTGTGAGGCTGTGCGAGACAGGCAGGCACGGGGGACGGTGTTGTAGCGATTCTCATTCTCCCTCGTGTCCCACTGCTTTTGCACCATCGCTCTCCCCTCTCATATCCGCCCAGCACTTGCCGTTGCATTGCACGAAGTTTCTCTCTGCTACACTGTCGCATCCTCATGCCCTCTCCCACACTGTCGCATTCTCATGCCCTCTCCCACACGCTCTCTCCTCTTGCCATCGCCACATTGGCGGTGTTCGCCACGACCACGTTATAGGCGAGGGGCGGGGATGGGCGAGGGCTCCAGAAGGCGTGTCGGAAGTTGCGAACTACGTCCGGGGGCTCGCCCCCGACTGAAATTTCGCCAATGGGATGAGGAAGGGGGACGAGGGGATCTAGCACCTGCCTCCCCCCTTCCTTTAGGGCGGGAATTTTGGTCCAGCCCCCGTCCATCCCGGTCCGCACCTCCGAAATTGGTGGTATGCGCGAGGGAGAGGCGAGGGAGGGGATGGGATTCCTAGCTGGCAGGGCAGGAAACTGCCATGCGCATTCGAGATCCCCCGCCCCACCCCAAAAAAGTGGGTGTTCGCCACGACAGCGAGCCCACCGAGGTTCGGAGGGGATCGTCAGGCTCGACAGGATTTTGTTGGTCTGACCGCCCCCAAAACCCTGATTTCAGCCCTTCACGAAGGTGCAAGGCGGATTCCCGATCCCCCGCCCATCCCTTTGATGGCCCACAAAAGACGTGGCGAACAGGGCCATTCTTCTCACATCCCCCTTGGGCAGGTGAACCACGACATGGCGGACCTGGTTGCCATGCTGCTGGCAGATACAAACGCACAGGATACAGATGAGGGGGGCGCATTCTCATGCCCTCTCTCAAACACTCTCACTTGCCCCTTGCCCCTCTTCCTCGCGCCCTCTTTCCATGGCGGCAGGTGAATCACGACATGGCAGACCTGATAGCCATGCTGCTCGCAGAGACACACTTTTGAGGCGCCTCAAAAACCCGTCTCCTCCACTCCCTCACCCCTCTGACTCATGGCGGCAGGTGAATCACGACATGGCAGACCTGATAGCCATGCTGCTCGCAGAGACACACTTTTGAGGCGCCTCAAAAACCCGTCTCCTCCACTCCCTCACCCCTCTGACTCATGGCGGCAGGTGAATCACGACATGGCAGACCTGATAGGCATGCTGCTCGCAGAGACACACTTTTGAGGCGCCTCAAAAACCCGTCTCCTCCACTCCCTCACCCCTCTGACTCATGGCGGCAGGTGAATCACGACATGGCAGACCTGATAGCCATGCTGCTCGCAGAGACACACGCACAAGATGCAGATGAGGGGGATGCAGGGGAGGGTGGGGAGGGGGGCGATGCAGGGCAGGGCGGTGAGGAGGATGGGGAGGAGGGCGCAGAGGGAGAGGAGGATGAAGAGGATGAGGAAAACGAGGAGGACGAGGGGAAGGGCAGTAGAGGGCAGGACGAAGGGAGGGAGCGTGATGGAAGCATGGAAGGTGCAGGAGAGGAGGGGGTGAAGGAGGAGGGGCGGAGCAAGGGGGTGCAAGCGTTGAATGCGATGGGTGCTGCGGGGAGCAGCGGAGGAGCGGGTGAGGGGAAAGGCAACGGCATGCAGGGAGAGGTGGACGGGGGAAGGGAAGGCGGAGTGGATGAGGGGAAGACTGGGGGAGTAGCAGGTGCGTTGAGTACCACTTCAGGTGGCGTTGTTGCTGGTGGCGTTGCTGCTGGTGGGACAGCTTCGGCACCAGAGGAGACAGCAGCAGAGGGAGCAGCTGTGGAATGGGCAGAAACAGAGGGGGCGGCAGCAGGAAAGGCGTCAGCAGCAGCGGCACTGGTGGCATGCAGGTCGATGGCGGCTGCTCCAGAGGGGTTGCGGGAGGTGATGAGGGAATACCCTGAGTTCGATGAAGCAACGCTGCGAGACATGCTGGTGCGAATGTGGGGTGGGAGGGAAAGATTGGTGATCTGTGCCAAGGGGGGAGGGGAAGAATGGTGATCTGTGCCAAGGGGGGAGGGGAAGAATGGTGATCTGTGCCAAGGGGGGAGGGGAAGAATGGTGATCTGTGCCAAGGGGGGAGGGGAAGAATGGTGATCTGTGCCAAGGGGGGAGGGGAAGAATGGTGATCTGTGCGAAGGGGGGAGGGGAAGAATGGAGGGAACAGAATGGCAGGAAGACTGGTGGTTTTGTGTTGTGGTGGATGGGGTTGCTGGTGAAGGGAGCCTTATAGAGGGGATAATGCATTTATCTGTGTCCCTGATCCCCCCTACTGCTGTGATCCCCCCTACTGCTGTGATCCCGTCATCCCATCTTCCCACGCTTGTCTTGCTGCTGCCTGTCTCACTGTGTTCCTTGCGCTACACACACCCAACCCACATCTCCCCCACTGTTTCTTAATCCTCACCCTTCTCTTGGCCCTCATCCCCCTCCCACCCCTCACCCCCACTCCCCCCCCAATCCCCTTCTCGCCCTCCCCATCACCTCCCCCCTGTCACCCAACCCCCTCCCGCCCCTGACCCCCCTGCGCACCACTTGCAGGCAGGAGAGGCGGGCGGCGACGTGGAGGAGCTGCGGGGTATGCTGAAGCGCATGCGCTGCCACCAGCAGCAGGGGGACGGTGCTGGTGCAGGGAAGGGGACAGGTGGTAGGGGGCGAGGGCGAGGGCGGGGGAGAGGAAAAGGGACGGGGAGGGAGAGGGAGAGGGAGAGGGAGAGGGAGAGGGAGGAGAGGAGAGGAAGAGGAGAGCACAGAGGAAGATGGGGAGGCAGGGGCAAGGAAGCAGCAGAGGGAGGATGTGGTGGAGGTGGATGGGGGCAGCTCTGATGATGATGTGGTGGAGTGCTAGGACCATGAGTAGGCTGCTGCCCTCATACACTGTTCATAACACTACACATGTCTGATCAGAAAATTTTCACCCTTTCTTTTGCACATGTTAAAGGGCAACACCCGAATTGCTCAACGGAGTCAACGCGGGAAAAAACAGGTTCGGAAAGGCAGGGAATTGGTGGTTCGGAAAACTTCCGAAACCCTTTTGCCGAGAACCCAGCAGGGGCGAGAGTAAAAGATACTGATTAGGCTGATTTTGTAGGTGTGATATTCGTTTTCCCTGAAAATCCAGCATATTCTTCATTTCTGCACTGAAATTTCAGTATAAAATACCTGGTCACACTGACCAATTTGCGTGTTGCTGTACAAGTAACACTGACGAATCAGTATAGCTTCGTGAGTCACACTGAAACGAACTTGACCGAGGGAGGGGGGGAGGGGGGGGTACAGACCTTCCCGTGATTCGCGAACCTTACCCACACACTTCGTGTTTTCCCATGCGCTGTACAGATTAGTGGTGCGCGCCGAAGTGTTTTGCCTCGCTAGAACCTATTACAGTGACACCGCCAAACACATTGTTCACGTCTGCCCAATAAGAAGACGGACAGCACACCACTGGAGGCAGGGTTCACGTCGCCACGCTGCAAAGGGTTGCAGTGGCGTGGGGGCCTTGTCATCTTGCCAGGAAAGACGGCCAAGGTGAGAGTGGGGTAGACCGAGATGCATCTCCATGGCGGCTCGGGACAGGGGGTACCCCCTTCTGGTCCCTCATTCTATTCTGTCCCTTCCTGAACTCAACGTTTTCCTTTGCAGGAAGGGACGTTCCCCCGCCGTGTTCCCCTCTCAAGCTCGGCATGCTGCAGTTGTCTCCTACCCACTCAAGCTCGGCACGCTTGGCCGTGCTGCGCGTCCATGGCGGAGCCGTCGCCCACAGGCGATGGCCCTAACTCCAACCCACCCACCAAGCCTGTTCCCCTTACAGGCTTCGATTTCTTACGGGGACCTTCTGCCGCTCCCTCGTTAGTCTCCCCTGTTGGAAACATGTAAACGCGCTTCTGAAATGTCGAAGCACCACTACAAGATCGAAACAAGTCCTAAGCGAAGCAACACCGAGTCAACTGAGCTACAGTAAAAGCAGTTGACATAAAGTGACAACAGCCGGAAGTTAAAGCGAAGGTCAAAGGTCAGCGACCTTTGACTCGCCAAGGCAGCACGACAGCAAGGACAAATAAATGAACTCGACATTGAGCAGTTACTGTCAGAATAACTAGGCAAGAATGAATGAAAGGAGAGAGGGGTTTCACTAGCAGCAGTTGGGGTACATATAGCAAACCCTAACTGGGTTGTACTCGCTATAGAGCACCCCACTACAGGCTAGACAATAATAACATTCTGACACACCCCCATAGCCAAAGTGGGGTGTAATCAGCAGAGCAAGCAAAGCAGTACAAGCTCAGGGTGGATCACAATGTCACCACACATTCTGAGCACAAGTTCAAGAAGCAATAGTTTAAAGTTCACAGTTATGAGCAAAGCTAGAGGCAGTTACAGAGGGCAAGCGAGGAGGAGGAGGGCTGGCGAGAGGAGAGAAGATGAAAGGCGCCGACTGAAGCTGCAGACACACGGGCAACAGGAGCGGCGCGCACAGTGGCTACCGAGCGCACGAGGGCACCGGACTACGGGAGTATCTGGCTCCGCGGCTACGACGAGCACACACAGGAGCAACGGACCCACAGGCGACTGGCGAAGCAGGCTCGCTGGGCTACCGAAACGCGCGAGGGCATCCGGACTACTGGCGCTGCTGGCGTCACGACGGCTACCTCCACGCAATCTCCCCCGACCGTCCCACGCCCCTCTCACACACCCCCTGCTGACACCCTAGCTCCACTCCGACGGTACCCCCCTTAAACCCCAAACCCTAGGCTCCCACACACCACCCCCCTCAGCGGCAGCTGTAGCAGAGGGAGACGAGGGAGGAGGAGGAGCAGGGGGAGGAACTCACAACCGACACCCCCATAGCCGCCACCCCCACACTCTTCACCCCCAAACCCTAATTTAGGAGAACGGGCTGTAGGAGGGGTGAGGCGCCGGTAGAAGCACGGGGGACAGTGGAGAGGGCAGGAGCAGCGAGGAACGGGCCGCCCACGGGCCTGGTAGAGCCGCCCGAACCGCGCGCAGGCGGCCCGAGCCGCGCGCGGGCCTGGCGCTTCCCGTACGGGCCGCGCGCGTGCCTGGCGCAGCCCGTACGGGCCGCGCGCGGGCCTGGCGCAGCCCGTACGGGCCGCGCGCGGGCCTGGCGCAGCCCGTACGGGCCGCGCGCAGGCCTGGCGCAGCCCGTACGGGCCGCGTGCCGGGTGTACGGGCCGCGCGCAGGCCACGACGGGCGACGGGGGGCGACGCGCGGGTCCCCGTCGCCCGTCGCAGCGCCTCCCGGGGGCGACGTGCCGAGTGACGGGGCAGGAACCCGCCGCGCGCCTCGGGGCACACGGCGGGCAGAGAACCGCCGCGCGCCTCGGGGCGCACGGCGGGCAGAAAACCGCCGCGTGCCTCGGGGCGCACGGCGGGCTGAAAACCCTAGTTTCGACGGACAGGGAGTAGCAGTAGCAGTAGCAGTAGCAGCGGAAGGCTTAGGTGGTGGGCCCACCCACAGGATCGACCCAGGAGGGTCGACCTGCTCTGATAGCATGTCAGAATCCCAGTCACTAACCACTGGGATAAAAGGGCTTGTTTATATAGCGGGTGAGTGCGCCCATAACCCCCCAGGCCGACGTGCCTGTAACCCTTCCCTAGGATCATCGGGGATCTCCAGTGGACCTCTGACACCCCCCCGCACTGGGATGCCCGAAGTGCACACACCGGGAATCGAACCCGAGACCTTCGCTCTGATAACATGTCAGAAATACTAGGAGTGGGGTTGAACTAGCAGGCAGTTGAGTACAAATAGCAAACCCTAGATTGGGCTGTACTCGCTATAGAGTACCCCACTGCAGGCTAGACAATAATAGCATTCTGACACACCCCCATAGCCAAAGTGGGGTGCAATCAGTACAATGAGCAGGCAGTGCAATAGTTCACAAATATGAGCAAAGCTAGTGGCAGTCACAGGAGGCCAGTGAGGAGGAGGAGGAACTGTGGAGGGAGAGATGAGAGGAGGCGACGACTGAAGTTGCAGACACACGGGCACCAGGAGCACCAGGTTGCAACCTCCTCCAACTGTCTCACTCCCCCCTACACTCACCCCCAGGGTCACCACTCGCTCCACGCCCACATCACCCCCCTAGCGCCACTCCCTCGTCTCCCACACATCCACCCCCCCGCAGCGGCAGCTGCAGCAGTGGGAGACGGAGGAGAAGGAAGGGGCGACGCACACGGAGCACCCCCACACCCGCCACCCCCACACCCTCCTGTCCAGGGGACGCAGGGGGGGGGGGGGGGGGGGGAGGGCCGGGGCGGGAGAGCGCAGGCAACCGCGCGTGCCGAGCAACAGCGCGGAGCAGGTAGGGTAGAGCGCACGAAGGCGCGGGCAACCGCGCGTGCAGAGCAACAGCGCGGAGCAGGTAGGGTAGAGCGCACGAGGGCGCGGGCAACCGCGCGTGCAGAGCAACAGCGCGGAGCAGGGCGCACGATGCACGAGGCACGAGGCACGAGGCACGAAGCACGAGGCACGAAGCACAAGGCACAAGGCACAAGGCACGAGGGCGCAGGTAGGTAGGTAGGTAGGTAGAGCGCACGAGGGCGCGGGCAACCGCGCGTGCAGAGCAACAGCGCGGAGCAGGGCGCACGATGCACGAGGCACGAGGCACGAGGCACGAAGCACGAGGCACGAAGCACAAGGCACAAGGCACAAGGCACGAGGGCGCAGGTAGGTAGGTAGGTAGGTAGAGCGCACGAGGGCGCGAGCAGGCACAGGCACAGGCACAGGTAGGTAGGTAGTAGGCTCGAGGCACAAGGCACGAGCAGGCACAGGCACGGGCAGCATCGGGCAGCAGCAGAGCGTACCGGGTCCAGGGGCGGCTTCGGAGGTCCAGGGGCGGCTGCTGCAGGGGCGGCTGCTCCAGGGGCGGCTGCTGCAGTTGCTGGCGGCTCCAGGGGCGGCTGCTGCAGGTGCGGGCGGCTCCAGGGGCTGCTGCTGCAGGTGCTGGCGGCTCCAGGGGCTGCTGCTGCAGTTGCTG